GGGAGAGAGAGAGGGAGAGAGAGAGAGATGTTCCATCACCATCCATGCTGGTCTGCCAGCCTTTGCTGGTAGGACAAGGACAAACCAAAGGCTTCTGGAAAGGGGTACATTCTGCCCAGGGATATATAATCCCCCTTTCATTCTTCTGTTGCTTCTTCTGCCCCTTCCCCCCCCCATCTAACCTCCTCTCAAATTCCCGCTTACCAATTCAGCATTTAGCCTGCTTTCTTCTTCAACCCTCTTTCCTCTGTGTCCTCTCCCGTTTTCCACTCCTCATCCTATTCACAGAGTTCCTCCTGCCCAAATGGCTGGTGGGAGACTCTCTAGCTCAAGGGAACTTTTGCTGTGGACAATCTATTTCATTCAATGGGGAGAATAGGCCTAAAGATTTTTGGGACATCGCAGCAGCTCGGCCAATGAATGCCAAACCAAATGCCCTAACAAGTTAAAACCCTAGCAAGTTAGGAATAAAGGCAAAATAAATAAATAAATAGTTTTGTTTTTGTTTTTTGTACTTTGCTCTTCTGCTCTTTTGTATTTTTTTTTTCCTTTAATAAGTTGGTTTTTGGTTGTAAGCCACCCAGAGTCATTTGGGAGTCAGGCAGCCCATAAATAAATAAAATAAAATAAAATAAAATAAAATAAAATAAAATAAAATAAGTAATACAATTCCTGTATCTGATATAACCAGAAGCATATACATTTAATAAATAGAACCCTTTTTTATTATCACACCTTCAATGTGGCAGCTAGCTTGCACCCTACATCCTCCAACTCAGCTTGAAGATTCTGATCAACCGTATTTGGTATGAAAACATAATTCCCAGACCAGATGTTCTGTTCCTTTGAACATCCTTACCTTCCAACTCCATTTTCTACTTCCATCTCTAATATGGTTTGGAGACGATGACATGTATATGATGTAAACAAAACTGATACACAGCATTTGTCCAGAGGACACAATTCCCCACCAGGAGGCTGAATTGTGAATGCAGAAGCCTGTAGAAAGAAAATTGAGTGCTTGTGTAATCTGGAGCCCTCCAGGCTGGTTGGGGAATGATGGGACTTGTGGTTCAAAGCATTCAGAAAATCAGGTTGAGGAAGACTTGACTAATGTTCTGCATTAGAGAGCTTCCCACTTAAATCACGTTCAGCCACAGGGTTTCTGAATGACGTGGAGGAAGGCAAAGGTAATGGGGAATCTCCTGGCTGTGATCTGACAACTGACTGGTCAGTGAAACAGATGGCAGATTTGGAGAGCTGAGATGAAACATACCTCCTCACCCCTTTCCGCTGTGCATGCAGGACTTTCCTGCATTTTCCATCTTCCTGGCAGCTGACTTAAGTTTTCTATTTCCAAAGTGCACCGCACTTTTTCTCCCAGTTTAATTAGACCCATATCGATGGACTGCACGTCAACGGAAAGAGTCGGCCCCTAGGAAAAATTATGCCAAAACAGGGAGTTTGGATCTGACAAAAAG